AAAAAATGCGTGTTATACGCCGATAAATACGGTAGATTTGAATCTTTGACTTCTGACTCTAAAGGAAAAAAAATCAAGATTGGGAAAATGTTCCTAACCAAAATGAATGAAGATATTAGCCATAATCTGATCCACCTGAAATAAACCATGAACAGCCTACCTTTTGTTACCAGCAGTAGATATTTGAGGCCTGTTTAGAAAAGCTAGGGCTGATTTCTGTTCTTCGCTCAACTGTATGCTGCCTGATGAATCACACATGAGAAACTCTTTGATCAGCAGAATCTGTTGCTCCTACAAATTGAGAAACATTAAAAGTAGCTTTATATTACATTTATAGCACAAAAAGCACATAATATGCAAAATCTTCTGGGAAACACAATTATGCCACTAGCACACTAATCCCTATACAAGGTACATAAACTGATCTCTCAAGTTATAGCATGAGATTAAAATAGCCAAGGGATTTTATTGGAGCCAATTGTTAACCAGTATAAAAGCTCATATACTCCAAATAGATTTCTTTCAGCTATAAAGCAATTTGCTGGTATCTTACCAATTCTATTGACTAATCACAACAGCATTCACCATTTTAATCTCACAAAAGAGGAAAGAAGCCGTTGCAAATGGGTAATTGCAGCTATTGTATCTGTGGAATAAACTTGTAAATCCCACTTCCAAACTACGATTCACATTAGATGGGGAGGGATCTAAGAAATAGGTGCGGAAGAAGGATTCATTCATTACTGTTAAGCTTTCAGATAGCTTCTCTACTTTGCCTTGAGCAAAATGTTCATTTTCATAAAAGGGCTCTTATTGAATCACAAACTGGAATCACTCCATATCACCAATGAAATTAAAATTATTACACATTTATCCATTGCAGTCAAGTAATCACATTGCAAGAAAATTTTAATTTAACAGACTGTTCGGGTAACAGGGTTATCTATTAAATCTAAATGTTCCCGCCATTTATTTTCTTTCTCTTCCTGGAGTTTTTCCTACCCCAGTCACTGCCCAGCATGCTACTTGCTGATCTTCCCAGTATTATCCCATTTGCTTCCTACCCTTGACCAAGCCACCATTGTGAATCCACCCAGCTGTCTGATCATTCTAGGATATTCCTCTCTTCTCAGCAAAAAATCAAATATTAAATATATGAATATTCCACTAGGGGAAGTCAACTGAGGCCTCCGTGGCCGAGAAAAAACCACCCCCCTGGGGATCGAAAACGGAGTCGGCTGCAGCGCTGATCTCAGCGCTGCAGGCTCTGAGGAAGGGCTCGATGAGAAGGACAGAAACCTTCTTTCCTACCAAGAGCCTTGGGGAAAGAAAACCTACGTTTCTACAGTCATCTGAAGCAGCGCTGATCCCAGCGCTGTTTGAAATTACTTTGGATTTCAGGAGAATTCACCAATGGGGAAAACAATGCAAAAAAAAAGCAATATAACCTGCTGGGAGCCAAACTTGTCACGTCCTGTAGGGCTGAGACCAAGTCAAGACTGGGTGTGTCCTAGCCCAGGACAGGCGTGGCAAGTTTGGCTGACTTGGTCTAATGGGCAGGAAGACAGTTAACCCATTGGTGGATTCTCCATCTCCTGTGCTGGAGAAGCAGTCTCTACTGTTTAGACTGCTTCCCCAAATAATCCTTATTTTAGGTTGCTGCAGGATTAAAAAAAAAATATCCAAAGTATACTAAATTGAGGTCTATTAAACCAGAGGTCACCGACCTTTATCGGTAGGCGGACCGGAGGAAAAGGGAGGGGGAAGCATTTTACATGCGTGCGTGTGGGGCCGTGAGCACAAATGGGGCGGGGCTAGCGCCTGCGTGATACTCACTATCCCTGCCCCGTTCTTGCATGGCACAGCACCTTGTTTCTGCACCCCGTGGCACAGCGGCACCAGGTTTCTGTGCCCCGCAGCCGTGGCACTAGCACAAGTAAGGGGGTGTGCGTGAACACTGGCCAGCCTGTCCCACGGCCTGGTGGCCACGGCCCACTACCGGGCCGTGGCCCACAGGTTGGGGACACCTGTATTAAACCAAGAGATTATAGGTTTATCAGCCAAATAAGAAGCCCACATTCATTCCATTATTACAATATATTTTTACCCTTTGATAATAAAGGCTTATATCTATTGTCACACATATGGAAGGAGATTTAACAAAGCTATTACATTCTAAATCTGATGCCAATTTTTGAAAAACAAGCTCAGAAATATTATACCTACCAACTTTTCACAATCTGCTTCAGCTCGGTGTCTTCTCTTCATCTCCACGTCTAGTTGGTTGCGCGCATGTTTCAGTTTCACATCAAGAGCACTACGCTCAGTTTCTGTTTTCATCAGTAAATCTTTGTATCTGGCCACCTCATGATCCATTTTTTGCCATTTTTTCCTAAACTCTTCAAAATTCTTGGCCAATTGGATAAATTCTGGGAAAAGTGAAGTTTTAATCCATTTGCAATTGATTTTTTAAATCCGTTTTTCTATTTCCTCCTTAAATACCTTCTCAGTTTGATAATCATCTAAATCAGGGGTTCTCAACCTGGGGTCCGCGGAACCCTGGGGGGGGGTGCAATGTCAGCACAGGGGCCCCGCGAAGGCTTAAAGAAATGTTATGATTTAAATCTTGAGTTAAGTCTTGGGAGTCTGTAGACACAAAAGGTATTTAAAGGGGGTCCGTGGCGAAGAAGTTTGCGAACCATTGATCTAAATAGATAATGCCAGGGTGCTAAAAAAAACACCTGATTATTCAGAACACAGTGCAGAAAGAGAAAGTGTTATCTGTAAAAGTAAAGCTTTCCTGCCAGTAAATCCAACTGAAGACAGTAGAACTTATTGATTAAACATGAATTCAATCAACACATTTTCCCCTATCCAGTTAAAGGATGTCAGTTCAGGTATTCAGTGCACTTCCATGTTAAGCATGATCAGTTACACGATGTCATAGAAAACAATAACCTTACTAAAGCAATTTATATACTACGAACAGGCAACTGTCATACAAAAAAGTAAAACTGCAGTTATAACAAAATTGTGAACAGACTACAATCGATGATTATGATATTAAGAAGACACTCAACAAAAAGTTAAAAATATGCTTCATTGATGTTGACTAGTATTACAGATGTTTGAATTAGCAACTTGGACAATTATTTAAATATTGATACAAAGGGGAAAAAACCCTAATTACTCAACACTGCCTAATGTGGATATAAACTTTTTATGCTGATAACTGATATTCATAACACATAGGATAATTTTTTCATTAACCAATATTTTCTTCTTAACCCTTCCAACACATTATTATAGATGTTGTGACTCTAACACTGCATAGACGTCATTTGGACTCTTTTGAGAACCGTAAAAATATATGGCAAGGCAACCTGATTTCCTGAGACAATAGCTAAAATAACATAGTGTAACTACTGGAACCATAATATTTTAACTATGTGCTCCACATTGTTGGCTAGAAACCACATTGTATAAAGTTGTTGTATGCAGATTACAGGTAGTCCTTGACTTACAAGTGTAACGGAGCCTGCCCATTCGACTCGTAGAGTGAATCTCATACCTCAAATGAGGTCACTCCCTTCCTCACACCTTATTAAGCGAAGATGAGATATCTCAGGGTGGGGAAGGACACGGAGGGCCTAGTGATGGAACAGGCCCCCAAAGCCTCCCTGACCCACTAAGAT